GTTTTTTTACCACTATCTATTTCTCTCATCCCTTATTTTGCTGAGTTTTCTATAGCGAGACGGGATGTGTTCTATTGTATAGGTACTCTTGGCCGCCACACTATGCATCGTATAATAAAACAATTATTCTGTAGTAGCAGTAGAGCTCCTTGTGAAAGAGTGCGTCCACGGTCAAAGTGATTTTTTTCTAAGTGTTCAATCTTTGTTTAATAATTATTAAAAACTGGTTAAAGGGGGTAGACCTCATTTCATTGATCCCAGAAATACACAGATTTAATAGCAGTAGAGCTCCTTGTGAAAGAGTTTGTCCAGGGAAGTACCTTACCTTACCTATTTCTGCCGCCAAGCAGTAACGTGAGCATTACTGCGTTCCAGTTTTGAAGGGTAAAGGTGCTGGTGAAATTACAGGCAATTGAGATCTGTCAACTTATGCCTCAGGGTGTATGTGCAGGGTACTGCAACTGTTATGGACAGGTGTGACGCTTACCAGCAGGCGCACGACTTGTTCGTCCCATCTCTTAGTATCATAAAAAAAATATTTGAAGCGTTTCCCTCCGTGTTTAAATTATCCAAAATATATTGCTGTATCAAATTTTTTCATTTATTAATGTACCATTATGTACACACAGACTCACATTTTATTTCTATTTCACGATCATCGAAGTTAATAAAAGTGTTAGTAAAGTTATGTACACAGAATCATCTTTAAACACATATCTACGAAACACTGGTTTAATAGTGACCGTTTTAAATTCTTTCATTCTTCATTCACATCGAAAATAATAAAGTGACAACCCTACGATCGAACAACGTGTAGGCATTGAATCGCCGAACAAATGGATGTTGGACTTAGAGGATGGAAAAAAATGAAGGTGTTTGACCACTTGTCTATGCAATGACAATAGATAGCAGATTGTACAACAAGTGCATAAAATGCGTTATTTCATCCGAGACGAGTATACCCGAGCCGCAGGCGAGGAGAAATTAATCGGCAATATTACAAATAAACGATTATTTAATTAAAATTGAATGTAAAATTACAACAATTAGACATATTTAATGTGATATAGCATAAATACAAACTTTTAGAGCATGAGAAGTGAAAACGTAATTTATGTATTCCAGAATGCTGCTGCAAACGGTCCAAGCCATCGGACACGCCAGTCAACATCCCTGCCTCCTGCATCGATCTCTCACCGACGGTCACCGTCACAGCTACCTCTCGCGAACTCTTTTCTTCCTCCTTACCACCCTCCCCTCCCGAATACGAACCACCCCCTTCCTATTCCTCCCTTTTCCCTAGGGCTTTCAAATCCTCCCCTACTCCTGTGCCCCACTGCTCCCATCAAGAGCCTCCGGATTGAATTACATCACCAATTAGTTCATAACAAATTCTGACTGTACTGGTAATAAATAAGCATCACAATAATTTTAGTATTTGTAATTTTGACAATGGACAATCGTTTTTCTCTTATGTAAGACCTAAAGTCTGCCTTAAGTGCCTTTGAATTGTAATTAATTTGTTGATGTTGCAATTAAGAAAAAAAACGACATAAAGGAGTTAGTTGTGATAACGGTTTATTAAATATTTTAAGTATTTCATTTGTTGACACTAAACACAGTATATTTAGGTTTTTTCCTAAGATGTAATATAAGGTTAAATGTATGCTTATTGTTGTAATAGGATTTTGAGACATAGGCCATTAAAATTGAGTACAATTTTCGACTAACTCTAAATACATAAAACAGCATAATACATATAATTTTGGGACCAAATCCATTTGAACTTGGACAGTGAAAATACTACAAAAGAGTGCCTTAGAAAAATAGTTATATATTAACATTTGTTTCATGAAGATATATGCAATGACTTTTAGTGTTCTTTACTTTATCTTTAACCCTACGGGAAATAAACTTGCAGTATTTGTTCATACTCAAGTTGTTTATTGTTCAGATGTCTACGAATACGAATCATGAATTTGTGGCTTACAGAAACAGATATTGTATATATTGTAACTCCATTAGTTTTCGATTTGATGACATAATTTCATTAACCATTTAACATAGACTTTTCACATGTTAAGTAAATGTCCTTGTTTGTTCCTTGTTTGGAACGTTCTCTGCTAATTTGTCTAGTGCTATATCACAATAGTAGATTGTAAAACAAGTGCATAAAACTCGTCATTGTTTCCGATACGAGTATATCCACCCGAGGCGCAGGCTAGGGATAGGGATGGATACTTAAGTCAACAGTAAAATGGGTTTTATACACTCTGCTTTTCACTTCTATTGCGAGGAAATTAAACAACAATATTACAAATAGACGATTAATTAATTAAAGTTGAATCTAAAATTACAAAAATTAGGGTCGTATTCTAGAACTCTACTCAATGCTCAAGTCAGGATTACACTGGAAACACAAGCACTGGAAATACGACCCTAATGGCAGGGACTTGAGTATGATTTCGAGTGCTTTAAACCATACTCAAATCCTGACTTGAGCATTGAATAGAGTTCTGGAATACGATCCTCAGACATATTTAATGTGATGGTTTTTTTTTTAATTTTATGCTCTAGAAACCTATTTTATGCGCTAGAGCACAAAATCCTATTTTACGCAGCCTACACCCAGCATAAATACGAACTTTAAGAGCATGAGAAGTGAAAATACATTTTTACTCAATGAGGATTAAATTAAAGGTAACTGAGAGATCTGTGTGTTGTTTTTGACTAGTCTACTTAGAATCTTATAAACGCTATTTGTTATTAGTGCCTAAGTATTTTAACTAGAAATATTATAGTATGTTGTATTATAAGTTAGCAACGGGATATGTCAGTCATAAATACTTTAGTTTTAAGGCGAAAGTGATATATTATGTATTTCAGTAAGTCAATCATTCGAAAAATACAAAGTATTTATTGGAAATTTCAGTGTTTTATTTATTTTTTAAACTAGGAAAAGGACTGAGAATGTGGATACAATTTTATTGCTCGTGTAAGTAGTGAGCGAAGTCGAAAGGTTAAAAACACGACCAAAACATGTAGGTATTGCTATGCATTATAGGTAAGGTAGGTAACTAGGAACCCTACAACATTGAACACAGACTATGAGAACTGAATTTATTTTGAAATAGTTGCATAAAAGCTGACGACATAAAAAGTCATGAGATCACTGTTTATAGCATTAATACCAGATCGATGATCTTATAATTGCAACAAAGTTACTTCGTACTTTCTTGCATAAAAAGTTGCTTGCTTGCAAAGTTCGTTAGGTAAATGCGAAAAACTTGTTTAACTCGCCATCTTTGCTTAGTGGGAGTCAAAGTTCGTTTTATACATCGATATTTATGTATGTACATACGTACATAATAAATAAATCTCAGGGTTGTATTCCAGAACTCTACTCAATGCTCAAGTCAGGATTTGAGCAGACTTGAGTATGATTTCAAGCACTGGAAATACGACCCTAATGGCAAGGATTTGAGTATGATTTTCAGTGCTCACTGCAATACTCAAGCCCTGACTTGAGCATTGAGTAGAGTTCTAGAATATGACCCTCATTAGTTAGCCTTAGATTGTATTGGAACATGTAATAGACGTAGAAAAGTTTATAAACATTTTTTTACTGGCTATAGCACATACACAAATTAATAAAAAAAAATTGCGGAGAAGTTCGGATACACGAACGTTATGGTATACCTATTTAGTTTCAACATGGCTGTTTAGCCTTGTTTTATTTGCTAGACAAGGACAGCTATATTATAAAACTTTTATTAACTTACTCTTTTGCCCACTTTGTTAGATGAAATTTAAAAATTTTAAGCGGTTTTCTGACATTTTGTTGTGATATTGTTGACGATTGATTTTGGACTTGGAATTTGTCTTGAAAAAGTGTTTTTACTTAAGAACATAGCATTAAAAACGGAATTTTAATTGCTTAAATCTGCGATGGATGACGAGGAAAAGGGTGGTATTTGTCGTGTGTGTTTATCCACCGCCAAAAAGAAAAGTATGTCACTGTTCGAAAAGTACAGAGATTACTTGATTTTTGACTACATAAACGCTATAACTAACGTGCAGATAAGAGAACATGATGGTTTACCAGATAAAATATGCCAAACTTGCCTTCAGGAGCTCGATACAGCCATTAATTTCAAGCAGAGATGTGAAAATTCGAACGTGTTTCTACAGTCGTCAAATTTTGTCAACAATCCTATGCAGACAGAAATTGACGTGAAAGTAGTGATTGTGAAGAAGGAGGAGCCTCAGGAAACGAATTTGGAATTCGTAGAACCTGAGAGCGATTTTTTTGACTCATCTGAGCCATTTGATAATGATTTAACTCTTGAGAACCGAGAGGAAAGACCGGACAACAAAGTCGATTTGGGCTTACGTAAAAGTAGAGCTATAGACCTCAAATTGCAGTGCGACGACTGTGGTAACTACTTCAAAAGCAAATGCAAACTCAGGGTCCACTGGAAACAAATTCATTTTAAGCAAAACTTAATATGTCACGACTGCAAGAGGACATTCAAAAGTTTAACTGCGTATACTAAGCATCAGAAAAATAGACGTAAAAGCTGCGCAGCCGCTACAAATTTCCGCATAGAGGGTGAAGGGAAATCGCGTGTATTCTATTGTAAAGAGTGTCCGTATAAATCTGTACGTATTAAAGATATTATTACTCACTGGGTTACTCACACAGGGGACAGACCATACAAATGTGATCTTTGTCCGAAAACATGCACGCAGCAAAGTTCACTTGCGGCACACAAAGAATCTGCACACAAAGATTATAAAGCTGAAATCACATGTCAATATTGTGGCAAATTGATCAAAGGACGTAACAAAATTTATCGACATCTTAAAACACATTCAGACAAAGGAATGCCATGTCCAGTTTGCCAGAAGATTTTGAAAAATAGAAATAGTCTTAATCAGCACATGCAACGACACAGCGGTGTAAAATCCTACACTTGTGAAAAATGTGCTCATTCGTTTTATACTGGAGCAGAGTTATCGAATCACAAACGTATGGTACATAATAAAGCTAATAAAGTTTGGTTTAAATGTGAATTGTGCGATTATAAGAATTACAGAAAAGAATGTATAAAAAGACACAAAGCTAAGCACACGGATACTAATATCCCATGCACAGTTTGCGGAATGTTTTTTGAAAGCACTCAAAAGTTAATTTTACACCAACGCCGTCATTTTGAAGAGAAGAAATTCCCTTGTCCACATTGTGATATGAAGTTTTACCGGAGAGATACGGTTCCAAGACATATTAAAGCAAAGCATAAATTCATGGTCCCAACTGCACAACCATCACAAAGAATTGGGTTCACAATAAAGGAAGAGTGTATAGAGGTTTACCGGAAATAGAAGTATCCGCTACAAATACTAGTTAAGATTTTTAGATATTATTGTGAAAAGTCTGATTTTAGCCCATACTTTTCTTATTAGAGTTGTTGGTATTACGACTGATTTCTGTAACTCCAAATCTGCTCACTGGTTATTTAAGTGACTTCTATAAGCATTACATATTATATTAATTATTATTTATAAAAACGAATGTGCAATATTGAAATTGGTATTATTTAAATCAATCTTCACAGATTTTTGCTTTGTACTATATTGAATATTGTTTGCATTAGGTGTGTATATAATATTGATACTTTATTTTACCACTATTATCTTATGGAGATGTATTAATTATAATATGTGAAGGAAACAGTCAATGGCAGATAAAACTTTATTGGTAAAACATTATCAGACATTGTCAATATCATCAATGTGTAACATGTCAAACTATTATTATTAGTTCCTTTATCAAAGTATATTTATTATTATTTAAACAATAATTTTTTATTACAATTGAAGTGCTAGCTCTGATTGTACAAATAATTATTTATGATATGATAATACACATTTTGAAACAGAGTGAATTAATTGTACAGTAATAAAATATTGTATGAATATGTAATAATTTTGTTATTGCCTTTTGCAAAAAACATTTGGTACATACATATAGTTGAGTACAAAGTACACACTAGTGCATATTTAGCAGAATAAAAAAATGAGAAATTCAAATAGTAAAGTCTTGTGAATAATAACGTTATGTTTGGTCTGAGTTAACAAGTAGTGCCATGAAGATTTGGTGTACATGTTTGGTTTAGTAATACTTTTATTTAAGTATCTGTTTAAATTCTATAGTTTTATTTAATGCGTTGTGTTTCTAGGGGCTGACATAGGCAAAAAAATATGTTTTATGACGTCGGTAAAGTTCTGTATTACTTGAATTTTATTAAAAAAAAATCTAATTTAAACAAAATGCATTTTTTATATTTAGTGACAAAGCGAGAACGGTTGAAAATTTAAAAAATTGCAACAGTTTAACATTGCATAATCAAAGTTTTATTCATTTTCGAATAAAAAAAATGTGAAAAAGAACTTTTAATTAGTGTTTCAAAAATTTACAAACACTGTAAATCCACCTCGAACCGCGCTATCTATAAACTTGTATGAGTAGGAAATAGACGAAAGAATGAAAAAAAAAGCCAGTCGACTAATTTATTATTTTCAAATTAGACCTAAAATAAAGAAGTACAATAACCGGCCAGTCTTTTGAAGAAACCCTGCATTAGAAACCCGGCGCTAGCCCTTGTAGCACCGATGGCGCCCTCTAATAGGAATGGAATACTTACAGTTGTATAAAACGTCCTGTCATGCTAGCCATACTACATACTGATGCAATTACAGGCACCTGGGACTTGTCAACTTATGGCGCAATGAGAGTGCTCATCAGATATTTGCGATTTAAAGCTGTACATAAGTACAGTACACTGTACAGTACAGTACGCTTTCCACTTGCCACACGACTTCTTCTTCCCGTCTCTAGGTATCATAAAAACAAACTTTACCTTCAACCAACCTTTAGTTCACAAAGGGTTTAAAGCAATATTGAACAGACTTTTTACTTCAGTAATATGAAGTGTAACATTATTCTAGCATCACCTTAAGAGACTAATAATAATAATCCACGATATAGTAAATTCTAATTTTGCAAAATTTAGTCGATTCACCGTTTTAAAAGCTGTTGTGGGTACTGTCCGCTCTGGGATAGCCTTATTACGGCGGGCGGCAGCGGCACCATTTCTTAACGCCGCTTAGATCTGACAGCAAGGCTGTTTAGTCAGTTCTAGCTGCAAAAACTCTAGATTTCGTCGGCATTCCATTTTAAAGTTTTAATATTTTTCCTATTGTCGTATCAATGACATACATTATACTGTAGTGGCCCAGAACTCGGCCACGCCGACCGCGTCACTAGCAGCCGCCATTAAATCTTCAAGCGTGCAGGTGTTAGGGCACGTAGGACACGATATAAGGTGGGCCATCGTTTGAGTCGCACCGCACAAGCAGTCCAGGATAAAAACATTGAAAATCCCCTCCTGAACAAATAGTTCCTTTTTTTTTGAAATTTTTGAAATTTGTCCTTGTTCCGCCAACCTGAGTTCGAAGCCTATTCAAAGTTTTAATGACGTTTTGCTGTTCGTGCTGAGATAACCTTACTCTGGCGGCACAAAGTATACCCCAGTTCTGCTGCGCCCCAAATTATATATACAATTATACTTATTACATATTTTTTTATAGCAGTATACAACATGGTGCGCAACGGTACAAGTATTAAAAATCGAGCGCAACGAAACAAAGAATTAAAAAAAACTTTTGTGCCGTTCGCAAATAAACCCCATGTTTGAATCTTGAGAACTACTAGACTAACAACTGTTGCACTCTGAAAAAGTCTAGATTTAGTCGGTTCTAGTCGCAAAATTAAAAATTGATCGTTCTTTGCTTTAGAAATTGCAACAAATTACCTTTTAAAGAGCCCAAATAACTTTTTTATATCAAGCGACGGGGCGGACATGTAGTGCACCTGGCGATAAGCGACACGCCGCCTGTCCATAGCTATTGCAGTGCCACTTATGCTCTGTCCAAACAGAGGCGGAAGCGTCTGTGTGGCCTGAGCATTAGAGTTTTAAGTCGCAAAGATCTGAGGGGCACTGTCACCGCGCGGGTCATCCTGAGACAAGTTCCATGTGCCTGTAATTTCACCAGCACTCTTACCCTTCAACACAGGATAGTAGCAGATATCTAATGGTCTTAGTAACTCTTTCAGAAAGAACTCTTACTGCTACTAAAACTGAATAATGCTTCATAAGTGGTTGTGAATTTCTTTAAAAAAAAGTAGTAAAATTTTAAGTAGCCGTTTATGGCGACGAAGACGCTGGAATAAGGCCCGTGGTGTGGGCGAGTTCTTAAAAAGGGCATGGATTTAAGTCTGTCAAGTTGAGCATGTTCCGTTTACATAACGTTTCAAAGTCAATGCGCCGCGCCGCCGCCCTCGCATCCTCCGAGGACAATATTGGCAAACGATAAATGTTAGCGGGCCTAAATGGAATTTTTATGTAGTTTTTACTATATGTACTTTGCTGTTATGAAGAAATGTCTTCCTTTGAAATTGAAAAAATGTTTTCATTACCAATACATTAAATTTGTTGGTACATTAAAAGCATATCGCACTTGACAACTAACATGGTATTATCTCAAAAATTGTGTTACGAGTATGTTGTATTTTATCACCAATATTTCGTTATATTTATGTGTCATTCATATACGATTTAATTCCAAAATGACAGGACAACACTGTCGCTTTAAAACTAAATAGGTAATATTAATATAACTTAAAGCCATTTTGAGATAATACTATGTTAATTGTCATGTGCGATATCAAGTTTGACACTTACGATCGACTCTATTAAGTCGAACGTGTCAATTTTGACACGCTTTAGACGGATGATTTCTAAAGTGCTATAATATCGACTCAGGGGTTCATCAATAGTAAAAATGTCAGCGGCAGCGTGGCGTCCTAAGTGGTCGGCGGCGTGAAAATTTTATAATGATATGTACGAAAAATATTGTTTAAAAATGTATAAGTGGTGTAATATGGTTTTTAAAACATATTTTTCGTATAATATGGTTTTTAAACCACAATTTTCGTATAATATGGTTTTAAAACCATATTTTTCGTATAATATGTATTAAAATAAATTCTAAAGGAAATACAAGATCAACAATGAACTAATATGTGTTAAGCCTTATTGAAATAAATTTTCTAAACTAAGTCATTTTTATTGTGGTTCCATTGCAGTCAACACTGTAGAGAGGATCTTATCCGTGGCGATTAAAGAACGATATAACAATGAAATCAGGTCCTCTCTATGTGAAACTACATTACTCATTTGACTACATTAAACGTCTTTTGTTTGTAAAAATGTAAAACAAAAACTATGATAAACAATTTAATTTAAAAACTTATTACAATGTTGACTGCGTAAATGCCTAACCTACAAGTATGGAACTCAACTTTTGTAATAATTTTCCAGATCACCAAGTCTCGATTTTTTCCCGGGTCTCGAAAATGCAGTGAGATTGAAAGCATTGTAGTGAGTTTTTTTTTTACTAAAAGGGGGTCTGAAAAATAGCTTTAGTTTTCTTACATTTTTATTTACTTAAAATACTTAGATGTACCTAACTACAGGCTACGTTTTTGAAACTGTGTTAATGTAAATAAAGTTTTTTTTATTTTTATTTTTCAGACATCAGTAAAACATATAATTTCGTTTCTCTTATACAGTGGATTTGTATACATATAGCAATCACACAATTCCGATCAATCTATCCTACAGTTCTGCTATATAACTATTCGCCTTAGAACGAGTAACTTGTTATTTTATTCATAAACTAAGAAGCTCTACAGCCGTAAAACCCGACATCGTGGCTAATACGCTTTATATCAGAAAAGCGGCACGTGTATACCGTGTACACGTGTAAAATTCCCATCGACCCTTCCCATTGTACGCTTACGTTTCTATTAGAACAATATACCTACCAGTGTCTATCTTAAAATGCATCCTGATCATCGCCGACACTTGCCTAATATCGCCCGGGTGCAATTAATACCATGGCTCCTATTAGAACATAGTTTCCCAAAGTGGTTCTCATCGACCACGAGAGGACGCTGAAGAGTCCTAGGGTAGGGTACTCGAAAGCAATTGGGGGGAGTTGATGCTGTCCAGGGTGTGCTAGCGCATTTAAACAAGACACCCGAATTATCTGTATAAACTATACTACAATTTTTTTCCTTTGTGATTTTTTGTGTTAAGTTAATATAAAAAATACGTGTTTTCAATTATTTTTTGTAGTTGTGGGCGTTGAATTTTTTTTGTCTTACCAAGTGGACTGAGAGCCAACAAGTTTGGGAGCATTATTTGACACGGCAAAACCGGCTGTTTGTCAAAAATGAATTATACTGCGATACGATTTTGCAAATAAACTGTAAACTGATGTCAGATAATCTGTTATGCTGTAGTTTTGTAGTTTTGCATACAACAGGACAATGATAGCGAATTATTATTAACTTAAATTGGTATTACCTTCCCTTCGTCTCCTCAGTATCTGAAAGAGCGTTTCAGCTTTCTCAGGTCTCAGGATAAACTCTATCGCTCTCTCGTTGGGTTCCAGTTATCTTTTCCTTCCTTCAATTCCGGTTTTAATTCTCACTCCTTCGCTGTTCATGCGGTCAGACTTTGCAATGCACTTCCTATTTCTGTTCACGAAAGTACATCGTTAGCTACTTTTAAATTGAGAGTTAAGGTCATTAAGGAGCATTATTTATCAAC